AAGAGGGGCAACCGGGACAGAATCCGGCGCCCCAACCGGGACTAGAACCCGGTGTACTGGTGCCGCTAGGTGGAGGATTAGCCTATTGAGCTGCGGCGCCGGCCTGTGTATTCTGCCTTCTATACATCAAACCTTTAACTATTTGAATATTGTTAATTGTATGGGGCTAATTGATAGTTTTGTACGTATAGCCTATCTTTTCATTTTATTTTATGGCATGGACCTTGGAGTCATTCTCATGCCTGCTGGGTACTCTTAGGAATGTTATGATTTTTTATGTATTTCCTGTCATTGTGACATCTAGAAGAGGATGCTAATCTGGATGATATGGTTATGTAGTGTAGTCTGTGTGCTCTTGAATGATATACTGGATGAGATTTAGGTATGTATGTTTGTATACTGTGTGGGAAATATAAGCTTGTATACTGTGGTGATTTGGATGTAGTTAATTAAAATTTGTTTCACAATTAGAATGACAGTTGTAAGTGGTTTTCTCTCCTTGACCCAATCTCATATATTACTAACTGAAATTGTCATGTGTTCTTTGAGGCTAATTTAAATGAACATAGGGTTTGTGAAAACTTGACAGATCTTAAATGTAACTCGGCTAGTGGGCAACATTATAATTTATTTATAGCTGTGCAGTATGGTTGTTAATGAATTAATGTAGGACGAGGGCAATTTGTACTTATAGTTTTATGTAAAATTACACTACATGACAAAGGTTGGCATTATGTAATAAGTACCCAGAAATATTAACCTAGTTGCAATAAATACAATTAATAATGTACATAAGAGTGAAATTAAACTCATTTTCTATCTAAAAAGAATTATTTATGAACAGAAAGTGGACAGCATAGATATGGTGACAGAAAGGTTGTAACTAATCTGAATTACTGAGTGACCTAGGAAGCTTGCTCAGAGGGATTACAGAATAATTATGTTAATATGCAATTATCACCTCATTTCTTCTGTAGTAACCTCAAGATGTAGTGTAGTGAGGGTGTTATAGCAAGTGCTGATAGTTTGCAAAAATACTGATGTTTGAGATTTCTGAGACAATAAGTCTAGCTTGAGGCATATAAGTGATGATCTGTCATCTTGAAGACAGATCTGACCTTTGTACTTTTTTTTTTAGTGCTCACAGTGTATAACTAGAGGCGGTTATAGCTGTAGAACTCATTATGATTTCCTAGAAACTGAAATATGTTTTATGTAGATTTAAGATTCCATTTGCAGCTTTTTTTTAAGAGTGTGATTTTTTTTTTAAAGAACATTTTTAAATTCAGTTAAAAGAATTCTATGGCTATATGATTATGTGAGAGGGCCTTAGTAATGGATTCTAAACATTGTTTTCTAAGATCTAATTAATGGAGCAAATATATCGAATTGAAATTTAGGAAGGCCAAACAACCCACCATTTGTTTAATTTATTAGATTCTCTTTTTAAAAACTTAATGCATAATGCCTCTTTTGAAATATGTCTATACTTTGTTACAGTAATATAAATTGATTTTGGTGACTGTTATATGTATTTGAAAGGAGTTGAAAAACTGTTTGATAGTGTGAAATTAGCTTGCGGGTCAGATGCTGTCTTGTTTGTATGCTACATAACCCTCCACAAATGTAGGAAAATAATTTTTGATGTCAAAATTCTAGCTGTTATTCAGTTGAAAAGAGTTAGGTGATCCATTGTTCTGCATTGTATCTCAGTGCAACAGCTTTGAGTCTTGAATAATGGTATTAAGAAAAAGTGCACTTGCAACATTTTACACTTAGAATATATTCTAAAAATTAAACAAGGAAACTTTTTAATTGTTATAACACTAAAGTACAAGCTTACAAGTAAGTTTGTTGTAGTATATTTTCTAACTAGTTGATCTTTAAATATTAATTGCTGTCTTCCCCTTTTCTGAAAAGGAGTAACTTCTCTCATCTTTGAGTAGAAATTTTTAATTCAGAGCAACTAATCCATATTTCATTTTGCAGGTGCAAGGGAAAATTTTGATTGTTGAAGACCTCATTTCCTGTTTTACTAGTATTTCAGCTGAGTCTGTCTTTGCTCGATGTTTGTCTTTTGCTAGATATAAAATATCTATTACACATACCTGGTTTTTTGTACGTTTTTAAAGAAAAACAGATTGGCGTCTTCAAAATAAGAACTTTTGAAAGCTCGTACAAAGCTGTTCTGGTAATGAGGATGCAGTCCCCAAGCCGACATGATATTCTCATAGTTTGGCCCCCTGCTGTTCAGGGGGTACCAATGTACTTGCTTTAAATGGGAAGCGTCTGTTCCATCTCTGAACCTCTAACACCAGAACAGATGGGTGGAACATAGAACATGGAAGGTTTTTACCTCTGAGGTGGTAACAGTGAAGCCACTCATTAACACTGAATTTACCACTTCGTTAGCAACGTTGCTTCCTGTTGAGAAAATCTAATATAGGCTTTCAAATTGACTGAGCATATATTTGTCTACCTTTATGATTACACTAAGAACAGAAATTAGCTAGTTTTTCAGACATTTTTTAAAAAATTGTTGTTCATTTCAAATTTATGAGATTTTTGCTATTGAGCATTGTACCTAGTTCAATGAGAAATACCAGGAATGGATAATAGTAAAACATCAAGGCTTGCTTTGCTTTTCTTTGACATTTGCACACTCCTTGCTAACACATGTTTATGTGCTGCCCATTTTTAACTTCTGTGTATGTGATGCAGAGATTCCTGCTGGGTGCTGCATTAGCACCATTTTGGAGTGGTATCATTGAATATGATCTTATTGGAAGTCTATTTTTATTACTGTGGAGGTTTGCCAATCTCACAACAAAATTTTAAAAAACCAAGGGGTGGAAAAATGATTTTGGTGTAAATAACAAAGCCAAAGAAAGATATTTTTAATATTAATGGTAGTATGTGTTTTGAGCATTTTATGGAAAGAATAAGATTGTAAGTAGTTGCTTTATGTTATAAGAAAGATTATTAGAAACAACTATTACTCTTGAGCTAGATTTACTGTCTTACAAAGCTTGAATTTGGTACTATGCAGCATAGTAGCAATAGTAAACATGATTAAAATGTTTTGATTTCAGTTTATTGAATTGTAAGGTTCTGCTGTCTTAAAATATTATTCATTACTCATTATTCAGAATAAAAATAGACTAAAAGTATGAAGGGCTTATTTTTTATCTGAGAACAGAAGCCTAGTCTGTCTTATTACTACTGTAACCCTAATACTAGAGCAGAGGCTGGCACATAGTAAGTGGTCGGTAAATATTTGGAGAATGAATAAACTGCCCTTATTGCTCTGTACAAGAGGAAAGGAAATAGAGAAGCTTTTGCCAGTACTTCACATAGTTAATGCCAGGTTGCCAAAGCACAGTGGTTTTTTGTTTTGTTTTCAGATTTATATTTATTTGAAAGGTGCAGATACGAGACAGAGGCAGAGAGAGATCTTCCATTTGCTGGTTCACTCCCCAGTTGGCCGCAGTGGCTGGAGCTGGGCTGAATCAAAGCCAGGAGCCGGAAGCTTTTTCCAGGTCTCCTATGTGGGTGCAGAGGCCCAGGGACTTTGGCCATTTTCTACTGCTATCCCAGGTCGCAGAAGAGAGCTGGATAAGAAGTGGAGTAGCCAGGACTTGAATTGGTGCCCAAATTGGATGACGGCACTGCAGGTGACAGCTTTAACTGCTGTGCCACAACACTGACCCCACAGATGTATATGAGGATTATTAAATATTTTGAGGACCTTGCTACAATGGATGAGTCAGGAAGTTGGAATCATGGTGGAGGTTGTTTCACAGGAAAAAATATTTTTCCTTCTTGAACCTTAGGAACTTTACTTTGGTTTTGGCAGTTGTCTTTTTTATTCATTCAACACTGACCTACTCCTTTATTCAACAAACATTGCACAATCACCAGGTGCTGCAGTAGTTTCTAGGAATGCTATGTTGACTGGGTTATAGTCTTGCCCACAAAACTCTTATCTTCTTCCTAGACGACAGGAAATTCCAGTACAGTGTACATTTATTAGGGCAGGATGAAAGTAGGGTATGCGGGAATTCTTCATTGTAGAGGCCATAATTACAGCCATGGTGTGACTCTATCCAAAATGAACTCTCCTTTTTGAAAATATTGAACTCCATCTCATAATGACTAAACAAGTTAGCAAAAATGCCCAGAAAAGACTTGCCTGTACTTTATATGAAATAAAAGTAAGTACTTATGTTTCATTGTAAAATTTTTTAGGGTGTTGCAGACATTATTCTGCCAGATCATAAGTGGGGTATACATGCTTTTAGAGAATGCTTAGAATTTGAAGATTCAGATTGTGTAAATTTAACATAAAACTTCATTAGTTTTAACTATACTAATTTGAAATTAAGGATAATTTGAGTAAGGAATAAATGAAATCCTATGAATAAAGCACTTTTACAACTGGTAGAACAACTTTCCAGGAAATTGAAACATCTTAAGGCAAAACTGTTTAATATGTAAGTTATTGATGTTGACTGCAAATATGTTCATTCCAATAAAGTTCTTCAATTAGTATTCCTCTGGCAGTGAACTTTAAGTGGCAATGCTTATACATCTCTACAGTGTTCTTTAATTTAAATTATTGTCTAGTATTGAGTGGCTCCTGATAAATCTACCTAAGTGTAAAAATTTTATTAGCAATTTGTATGTAAGAGGTTTTAAATTTTTTTCTAGTCCATAGCATATTGATTTAGTGTGTGTGTGTGTGTGTGTGTTACTTCTCCCTAGATATTTTGTATATTTGCAGTATTGGATTGTTGCTGTTTAGGATGAAGAATGATATTAACCTTTGAGATGCTTTTAAAAAGTATTTCAGTTTTTAAAACTGTTACTTTATTCTTGGACAATTATTAGGTTCTCAATATAAAGAACAGAAAATTAATAAAAATGTATACTTTCAACTCTCCATTCTAATAATACCCTTTCTTTGATTCAAATCTAAATTTTTTGTTTCCATTTTCTAGACTAAATGTGTTAAATGGGCTTGCCAACAATATGGATGATTTGAAGATAAACACCGATATTACTGGTGCTAAAGAAGAACTCATAGATGACAACAGTTCTATCTCAGAGAAAGAGAGTGGAGTTCATAAACCAAAAGATTGTCAGACATCATTTCAAAAAAACAATACGTTGGCTCTGCCTGAAGAACTATCAAAGGACAAATCTGAAAAAGCCTTAAGTGGAGGCCAGTCTGCTCTATTTATACATGCTGGTGCTCCTGCTGTTTCTAGTGAAAACTTTATCTTGCCTAAAGGAGCTGCTGTTAATGGACCAGTTTCACACTCCTCCTTAACTAAGACTTCCAATATGAATAAAGGCAGTGTTTCATTAACCACTGGACAGCCTGTGGATCAGCCAACATCAGAATCTTGTTCAACTTTGCAGGTAGCAGCTGATCTTCAGCTGTCTGCACCACAGAAAGCAAGTCAACACCAAGTTTTATTTTTGTTATCAGATGTAGCACATGCCAAGAATCCAACTCATTCCATTAAAAAACTACCTACCTCTACTTCAGTTGGTTGTGACGTTCAGAATTCAGTGGGGAGTGGTATAAAGTCAGATAGCACTTTAATAAATCAAGTAGAGGTGGGTGAGGATAGTGAAGATTTATTGGTAAAAGATGATTGTGTCAATGCATTGACAGGAATTTCCTCAGGTACAGATGAATTTAGGTCAGAAAATAATGCAAACTGGGATCCCCAAAAAGAGTTTATTCAGTTTCTTATGTCTAATGAAGAAACAGTAGATAAATCTCCAGTTCATTCTAAAGTAGGTCTAGAAAAGAAGAGAAAGCGAAAAATGGATGTAAGCAAGATAACTCGTTACACAGAGGATTGCTTGAGTGATTCCAGTTGTGTTCCCAATAAATCAAAAGTTTTGGAAGTAGACTTTCTAGAACAGAATGAAGAGCTACAAGCAGTAGACTCACAGAAATATGCATTATCAAAAGTGAAGCCTGAATCAGCTGAAGAAGACTTGGAATCTGTGGAGGCTTTTCAACATCTAATTTATAACCCAGATAAGTGTGGAGAAGACAGTTCACCTGTTCATACTAGCACTTTTCTTTCAAATACCTTAAAAAAGAAATGTGAAGAGAGTGATTCTGAGTCACCTGCTACTTTCAGTACTGAAGAGCCATCATTCTACCCCTGTACAAAGTGCAATGTGAATTTTAGGGAGAAAAAGCACCTCCACAGGCATATGATGTATCATTTGGATGGGAATAGTCACTTTCGCCATCTTAATGTCCCAAGGCCATATGCTTGTAGAGAATGTGGACGGACATTTCGAGATCGCAATTCACTTCTGAAGCATATGATTATTCATCAAGAAAGAAGACAGAAGTTGATGGAGGAAATTCGTGAATTGAAAGAACTTCAGGATGAAGGAAGAAGTGCACGATTACAGTGTCCTCAGTGTGTATTTGGTACCAATTGCCCTAAAACATTTGTGCAACATGCTAAAACCCATGAAAAAGATAAAAGGTACTATTGCTGTGAAGAGTGTAACTTCATGGCAGTGACAGAAAATGAATTGGAATGTCATCGAGGCATTGCCCATGGAGCAGTAGTAAAATGTCCCATGGTCAGTTCTGATATAGCGCAAAGAAAAACACAAAAAAAGACTTTTATAAAAGACTCAGTCATAGGATCATCCAAAAAGTCAGCTTCCTACATATGTAAGGTGTGTCCTTTTACTACTTCAGCCAGAAGTATTTTAAAAAAACACATGGAATACTTGCATTCATCATCATGTGTTGATTCATTTAGTAGTTCTCTTGGACTTGATAAAAGAAAAAATGACATCCTTGAAGAGCCCATAGATGTTGATGGCACTAAACCATTAATCAAACAACAGTCAGCCACTTTTCCAAAGAACTCTGCTTTAAAACAGGATGTGAAGCGAACATTTGGATCAAGCTCACAATCAAGTAATTTTTCAAAATTTCATAAGCGGCCACACAGAATACAAAAAGCTCGGAAAAGCATTGCCCAATCAGGTGTAAATATGTGCAATCAAAACAACTCTCCTCAGAAGACTGTTATGAATAAAAGCAGCATTGACCAAAAACCTAAGTATTTTCATCAGGCAGCAAGAGAAAAATCAAATGCCAAGGCAAATAGCAACTATTTGTATAGGCACAAATATGAAAATTACAGGATGATCAAAAAATCAGGTGAATCATATCCTGTACATTTCAAAAAAGAAACTAGTTCCTTAAATTCTCTACATCTGTTTTCATCATCAAGTAATTCACACAATAGTTTTATTTCAGATCCTCATAACTCTGATACCAAAAGGCCAGAAAACTTCAAAGACCATAGGCGTGTAGCTGTAAAGAGAGTGCTTAAAGAATCTAAGAAAGAAAGTTCTGTTGGAGGAGAAGACTTGGATAGCTATCCAGATTTTTTGCATAAGATGACTGTTGTTGTTTTGCAAAAACTGAATTCTGAAAAGAAAGATAGTTATGAAACAGAAGATGAAAGTTCCTGGGACAATGTTGAGCTAGGTGACTACACTACACAGGCCATAGAAGATGAAAGCTATAATGAGATTAATCAAGATCATGTAAACTTATTCCCTCTATTTAAAAGCAAGGTAGAAGGTCAAGAGCCTGGAGAAAATGCTGCCCTAAGTTACGATCAAAATGATGGCTTTTATTTTGAATATTATGAAGATGCTGGAACTAACAACTTTTTGCATGAGATTCATGATCCTCAGCATTTAGAAAATGCAGAAACGTCATTATCAAAGCATAATTCTGTTTTTCATTGGACTGATTTGTCTCTTGAGAAGAAATCATGCCCTTATTGCCCAGCAACATTTGAAACAGGTGTAGGGTTGTCGAATCATGTCCGGGGTCATCTTCACAGAGCAGGATTAAGCTATGAAGCTCGTCATGTTGTATCACCAGAACAAATAGCCACAAGTGACAAAATGCAACATTTCAAAAGAGCTAGTACAGGGACACCTGTTAAGCGAGTTAGAAAAGGTAAGTTTTCTTGTAGATAATTTGGGTTAATACGTCTGTGTTCAAATTTAGAGGAAAATTTTGTTTGAATCTGGTTATGCTAGAATCACATAATTTTGTATTTCAGAGTTAAATCATTGTAAAGTGGTCTGCTTACAAAAAATTCTGATGCCACTCTTAAAACATTTTTTTTAGCTGTAGAGAAGTCTGAAACCACTTCTGAACATACCTGCCAACTCTGTGGTGGTTGGTTTGATACTAAAATTGGATTATCAAATCATGTTAGAGGCCACTTGAAAAGACTCGGAAAGACCAAATGGGATGCTCACAAATCTCCAATCTGTGTTCTGAATGAAATGATGCAAAATGAAGAAAAATATGAAAAAATCTTAAAGGCATTGAACAGTCGTCGTATTATTCCTAGACCATTTGTGGCTCAAAAACTTCCAAGTGATGACTTTCTATCTCAAAATGTTATACCTCTTGAAGCATACCGTAATGGCCTAAAGACTGAAGCTTTGTCAGTGTCAGCATCTGAGGAAGAAGGGCTTAATTTCTTAAATGAATATGATGAAACAAAACCAGAGCTGCCCAGTGGAAAAAAGAATCAGTCTCTTACACTGATAGAACTTCTTAAAAATAAAAGAATGGGAGAAGAAAGAAATTCTGCTATTTCTCCTCAAAAGATCCATAATCAAACAGCAAGAAAGAGATTTGTTCAGAGATGTGTTCTTCCATTAAATGAAGATAGTCCACTGATGTATCACCCACAAAAAATGGACTTGACTATGCACTCAGGTAAGAGTACATTTAAGGCTATCTCACCATATATAACTTAAGTACAGTTCAATTATATTTTCTTTAGTGGAATATGTGAAAAATACTCTCTCAGAATCTTCTTATTTAAGCTGCTTTTTTTGCAGAACACAGATTGGTTATTCTACTGTCATTTCTATATAACTCATCAGTTGATGCGCATCAGCACTGAATTCTCTGTGCCTCATTTCTTGGTCTGAATGTAAGGTGAGAACAAATGGAAAAAGAAAACTACAAAAAAAAAAAAACCACAGAAATCTAATCTGTAAACAAATTTTGCTGCGGTTGGAGGATGGCTGTGGATGGGAGGTTGATGGTGTTCAAAAACAGCATTACTGAAAAAGCAGACCTCTGTCATATTTGCCAGTGCTCCAAAGTGATAATGTTTTCAAGATTGAGCTGTTGTTTTCCCCACTGCTTACATGAAACAAAACAAAACAGACTTTTTAAACTGAATGGACTGGTGTCTTGTTATACATGGTGATTAACCCAAAGAAGCCTCTCCCTTCCCATTTCCTCATTGTATGGCGGGGTAGTTTGGTTTTGGAGGTCTGTTCTAAGTGTAAAACATATTTGGTTGGGCTTTTAGACTTTATGGAAATGAACAGATGATTTAGCTTAGTGCTTGTGCACCAAAAGATTTTCTTTTCCAAAGGCATATTTTGTATGTGTTGGCAAGCGATATTGCACATAATGTAGACAACGCTTTATTTGGTATTGCCAAGTCTGGTTTATTCTTTTAGTCTAGAATTTTAAGTGTCTTTATAGGTTGCTTTTGGAGGTTAAGAATGTTGAAGGTTTGCTTGGATGGTCTCATAATTACAACCCTAGACTAAGTGTGTCAGAGGTAATAGTATTGTCCACAGGATTAATAATAAAATTATGTAAAGTACTGTTGACTTGTTCATCTTGGGTAGACATTGGAATATCCTAAATATTTGTAATGCAGTTTTGATTTAAGGAAGATTATCTTGTATTGCACGTGATTGAAAAAGTTTTATTTTGTGTGGCCTTCTGGTTATAGGACTCTTGAACAGAGTCCTTCAAAGTCAATAGTTTTCTGTATATTTTAGAAGGATATTAGCTGTATTGACTGAGGTGTAGTGTACTTCAGAGAAGGAAGTGTATTTGTGGCTATCACAGTAATGTGGAAGAAACTAATTGAAGTGTGTTGGGGAGTGAGAGTTGTCTGAGAAGTTAGGAGTTTTTCTTATTGTTTCAGGATGTTTTCTTCCCAGTGATGATTAAGATGTTAGCTTGTTGATCATTTATTTAGCACAAAGATTTTTGCAAAAAACTTCAAATCATTAACTTTCATTATTGATTACGCATTCAGAGTAATGAACATAAAATGCCCTGAATAAAATGTTGTGTCTAACAGCTGTTCAGTGGTGTGTTTTACCACCTTTTCTCCCAGCCTTCATCAGAAAGCTTAATTTAGTATCAAGCCTTTTACGGTTTTGTGGGTAAAACACTTTAATTACCACTTTGTCAACTAGACTTTTTAATTCTTTTTATTGGTAAGGTTGTAAGCTTGAAACTTCCAACAGAACTGTGGTATTCAAATCACAGGATTGTATTTCAGTAGGTTTAAGAAATGATCTGCGTAACACAGAAATCTGCAAGAAAGTGATGATAGGTGTTAAATCCAGAGGAGTTCTGAGGTTCAAGTCATTCCTCTTCCATCTATCCAAAGAGCATGGGTTGGCCCTAAATACTAACTACAACTAATAATAGTTAACTTAATTCCCTCTCCTTATTTTAAGTTAACCTAATCCAATGAACGTTTTTTTTTTTTTTTAAACCATCTTTATTGTGGTACATTTCTACACACTTTAAGAAAATTTCACTTTCTGAAGTGAGAACTGGATTATAGTTTTCTTTTGAATGATAGGTATGCCTGTGAAGCTTAGAACATGTGTGCATTGCAATACGACGTTTACAAGTGCTGTTAGCCTGTCCAACCACTTACGCGCTTATGCACGAAAGAAGAGTGCTGGACTTTTGACTGGTACAGGTATGTTTGAACAGATATCACAGCAAGTCTGTTTGATACAATACACTATTTTCCTCACCAAATTGGTGCTAATTCAGATGATATATATAGTTTTCTTTGGTAAGCAGCAGTTGAGTGAATATACATTAAATTTCAGCAACTTGTAAACTGTTAGATATAATTTAAACAAGTTATTTTTTTTCATTGGCTCATATTGATTTGGGGAGAAAAACCCAGTAGAGGTATAGAACTTCTTAGTCCACATTAATCCCATTGATTTTTAAATTCTATTTTTTTATGTTACTATTTTTATTTTTTGTTAGTAGAGTTCAGTAAGATACCTCTCTTTGATGGAAAAATATCACACTTCTAGCCTGTAAATGCTTTATTAGAAAATAAATTACAGTAGAGTTTCAAATATATAGGATTGATTATAAAACTAAAGGAACTAGTGAGTTTTCAATTGGTCTATACATCAAACCTTTGAAGGGGCAAGTCTCAGTAATGGCCTGTGTTGACAACTGAGTAGGTTTTTCTTTTAATATCCCTAAACTTTATTTAAAATTAATAAATACAGCTAAGCACATAAGTGCTATCATGCACATTTCTGTGTTATTTTTGGTTGGTTAGCCCAACCTTGCAGATATCTCTTCATATTGCTTATCTGTGAAAATTTTATTAGCTTACTCATAAGTAATACGCTTCTTATACCCTGCAAAATGCTTTGCTCTTTCATTTGTATCTTTCAACCTGCCCTGCTTCAGCAAATCTCATTTCTTTTGCATCTAAGAATATACTCTTTTTTTCTAAACAGATTTATATAAACCTTTTCCAAAATTCTCTTTTCAGTCTTTTAATTTGTCTTGGTCTTTAGATCACTGCCTCTGCTTTCTTCTAGTTGCTGTTTTCCCAACTTTTTTTGTTCTTCCTCATGTCTTATGACTTGCACTTGAAATGTTCTTGATGCCAAAGAAGCATGTGTGTTCATACTGGTGTCTTTCTTTCTTCTGCTTCTTTGCTTTGTTCCTTGACTTGATATAAAAATCACCAGGAATGACTATTTACCATTTGTATAAAATGAGGGAGTTGAGTGAATTTTCTTTACTGGCTTAGTCCTCCTACTATGGGGTTATATTTTTTATATATCCCTACCTTCATCAAGAGGTTCTTTTCCTAGATTTCTTACTTTAAAATGAAGGCAATTGAAAATTCTGAAATGAAGTTGGTATCATCCTGGTGAAGACTGAAAAAATAAGTGTCTAATTAGAAAGAACAGGGACTCAAGAAATGGATAGGCCTAAATTAGACTTTAAGGACTTGAGAAAATACTCCATTCTGACTATACAAAGAGATTATGCAAATATTCAACAAGACAAGATTTTACCACACTAGGTTTTCTTAGTACATTAAAGAAAGAAAGAGTTTTTACCTCATCTGAAAAATTCTTCAAAACATAACTGCTAGTATACCATCCATTGACTAAGGGTTCATTCTAATGAACACTATCTTAAAAACTTCATTGTCAGAAAAGTAATATTAAATAGGCCAGCAGGGAAAAAATATCACCAGCTAAATGCTAAACAAAATGTCAGAGATGCTAAAAAGAAATACAGTGTTTAGCATTCCTAGGCAAAGAGAAGAGAAATGAAAAGCTGAATAAGGCCTAGGGTACCTTTTTTAAAAAGATTTCTTTACTTAAAAGGCAGAGTTAGAGGAAGAGAGAGCAAGAGAGAAAGAAAAATACTGAAAAATACTGAGATATTTTATCTGCAGGTTCATTTCCCAAATGGCCACAATGGCCAGGCCAAAGCAGGAGCCAAGAGCTTCATCCAGGTCTCCTACTTAGGTGGCATGGGCTCAAGCACTTGGATCATCTTCACTGCTTTTTCAGGCACATTAGCAGGAAGCTGGATCAGAAGTAGAGCAGCCAGGACTTGAACCAGTGCCCAGTATAGGATGCTAGTGTCGCAGGCAGTGGCTTAACCCACTGTGCCACAACGTGAGCCCTGACCTAGGATATTTTCCATATCCAATATCTACTTAAGAAAATCATAAAAAAAAAAAAGATGTATGCTTCCTTTCCTTGGGAATTCTGAAACATTGTCTCCTGGTTTTTAAAATCTTCACAGGTAGAGCTACACAAAAGGTATTTTTCCTGATTATTCATGCAAACTAAAAAGTTTCATCCAGTTTTATTAATTTTTTTGTTTCCCAAAAGGATTATTCATAAATTCCACATGATTGTTCTCTTCCTCCATATCAGTATCACTTATATAAAGCTGTGGTTCCAACTTAATGGTCCCAGAGGGTTTCTGGGTTATATATAATCGTGGGAGTAACAAGCATCACTTTTCAAGAATGGATAGATGATTTTTTGATGAATAAAAAAATCATTTTTATAAAAACCTTCCTTAACATAAATGTTTCACAACATAAAGGGAAAATAGGAACAAAGCCTCTGTAAAGATATTTAATATTTACATTTCTATTTGAAGCAACCTTCATTCATGTGGATATTTTAAAAAGATTTATTTATTTATTTGAAAGGCAATGTTACAACGAGAGGAGGAGACAGAGAGAGAGCAGAATCTTCCATCTGCTAGTTCACTTCCCTAATGGTTGCAACCAGGAGTTCAGAACCAAGAACTTGGAACATACTCTGCTGCTTTCCCAGGCACCTTAGCTGGGAGCTGGATCAGAAGTGGAACAGCTGAGACTGGAACCGGCCGGCATATGGGATGCTGGTGCTGCAGGCAGTGGTTAACATGCTACACTATAGGGCAGACTCCGTTCATGTGGATTTTTAATTTTTTTAAAGAATTTTAAAAAAATATTTGAAAGGCAGAATTACAGAGAGAGAGGGAAAGATAGAGATCTTCCATCTACTGGCTGGTTCACTCTCCAGAAGGCTGCATCAGCCAGGGTTGGGCCAAACTGAAGGTAGAAGCCAGTAATTTCATCCATGTCTCCCACGTGAGTGCAAGAGCCTAAGGATTTGAGCTGTCTTCTACTGCTTTCCCAGGCACATTAGTTGGGAGCTATTCTGGAAGTGGAGAAGCCAGGATATGAACCGTTTCCTATATGGGATGCTGGTGTCACGGGCGCAGCTTTACCCATGATACCACAACCCCTTCCCCAGATTTGTAATTATATAGTCCATTCTTGAAGGGAAACTTTGATACCCCAGATGATAATGGACTGCTGGATTACTTGTGGCAGAATAAATTTCAAGCCTTCTTAGAAGCTACCAGCTCTTGGCCTTTTCTTTGGAAATTAATATCCTTTGGAGGAGAAGAAATATTCCTTGTAACTAATTATCTCTGATAGCCTGAATAGACTTGAAATGGATACCCTTCTGCTTCCCAATATATCTATTTTCTGTTGACACAAGTACTTCTAATTTTTTTTTTTTTTTTGAGGTCATTGACCTTGTTGAGAGTTTTATCAAAGCTCTGGGCTCCTTCTCAGAAACATGCACTTTCTCATCCACCAATAAAAATTTTTTCTATGCTTTGACTGTGAAGGCTATCATCTATGGACCCTTCCTATGGTGTCAAATCAAGAAAGGAGAGATGCCAGAATAAAAATGAAGTAGAAAGAACACAGAACTCAGGAGCCCAAAGAAGCTGTTTTGTTTTGAGTAGAAGATGCTTAAGATACAAGGACTGTGTATTTAATTCTGTGCTCACACATGTAAATTAAAATACATCCTCTCTAGTGTTAGTAAAAGGATTGATGAAGAAAGTAGGAAAGCTTTTGAATTGACAGTGAAAGAGGTAGCTATACTTGGGACAGTTAAATTGTCAAAAACAGTAAATTTCACAGATTAAAATTTTGCTTAGAACTGACAGGTTATCGTCTATTGGGTAGATTCAGATAAATTATTTTAACAATTTTCATGTCTTGTAGATAATTTATGAAACAATTTTAACTTAAAAAAAATGGATCTTTATTTAAAGAGACTAGTATCAAGAAGCTTACATTTTGTTCTATATGGTGAATTCAAGGTAGACTTCTTATTTTTCATGAATTTACTCCAGTTAGTGTGGACTGCACTGATAGTAGGCTTCTTTTTCAGATTTTGTTCTCTTTAGATTGTTTTACATGTTCATACAAGTTTTTTCCTGATTAATTTTATATACAGTCTGTTAAGAACATTATGAAAAATTCATGAAAAATCAGAATTTTCATGATACAATTTATATTAAATGCTTTTGACCTTTGTTTTAAGTATTGGCTTTTTGTGTTTAATATCTTAATTAAATGATATCTTTTTTTAATCCTGGCAATATTAAAAACACATATTAAATTTATTAATATAGTGACTGTACAAGCTGGTTTAGCCTTGCTGTCCCAGATTGGTAATAACTGTCTTTCTTATACTCACAAGGGTCTTGGCTTGGATGATAAATTATGTAGTCATCCTGGTTATTAAAATTTCTAAAACACTGAAAATATTCTACTGACCTAATCTTCAATCCAGAATAAGAAACTTTTTATGTCAAAATAAGTTTCAACAGGTGAGAAATTTCAACAGGTGAGAAAAGAGAAATAAAGTCAGAGTAGAGAGACTGAAAGGAAATGTGTCTGTAAGCTGGATGCATTTCGCACATACATAGCATTCTGTTATCTCTTGGAAAGAAAAATAGTGATGGCATTTTTGTTTGTTTTTTACAGGCAGAGTGGACAGTGAGAGAGAGAGAGAGAGAGAAAGGTTTTCCTTTGCCATTGGTTCACCCTCCAATGGCCACCACAGCCAGTGCGCTGCGGCCGGCGCACCGCGCTGATCCAAAGGCAGGAGCCAGGTACTTCCTCCTGGTCTCCCATGAGGATGCAGGGCCCAAGCACTTGGGCCATCCTCCACTGCACTCCCGGGCCATAGCAGAGAGCTGGCCTGGAAGAGGGGCAACCGGGACAGAATCCGGCGCCCTGACTGGGACTAGAACCTGGTGTGCCGGCGCCGCTAGGCAGAGGATTAGCCTGTTGAGCTGCGGCACTGGCCTAATAGTGATAGCATTTAA